GAATCACTTGAACCCAGGAGGCGGAGATTGCAGTGAGCTGAGATCCTACCACTGTACTCCAGCTTGTACAACAGAGCAAGACTCTGTCTCAAAAAAAAAAAAAAATTTTTTTTTTCTTTTGGCATTTATGTTTGTTTTAAAATTTTTATACATTTTAATTTATTTATGCTTTTTGAGATGGAGTCTTGCTCTGTTGCCAAGGCTGGAGTATAGTTGGTGGGATCTCAGCTCCCTGTGAACTCTGCCGCCCAGGTTCAAGTGATTCTCCTGCCTTAGCCTCCTGTGTAGCTGGGATTACAAGTGCGTGCCACCACACCTGGCTAAATTTTGTATTTTTAGTAGAGATGGGGTTTCAGCATCTTGGCCAGGCTGGTTTTGAACTCAGCAGTTCAAAACCTTATGATCCACCAGTCTCGGCTTCCCAAAGTTCTGGGATTACAGGCGTGAGCCACCACTCCCCGCACCTCATATTTTTTTAAAAAATAAAGTTTTAACTGGGAAATGTGAAAACAGTGAAGTATTTCAGTATTTTTAAGTAAGATCTTAAATGTTTAGAGTATCATCTGTCTCTACAAGAAAACAATATCTTGTTGATTCTTTAGCTTTTCACTACTTTTAGAATGTTTTTCCCCTAAAGCCATATGAGAAATTAGAAAAAAGGTTATTATAAACACAAGGGAGGCAGACACAGTGGTTCATGCCTGTAATACCCACACTTTGGGTGGCTGAGGCAGAAGGATTACTTTAGGCCAGGAGTTTGAGATAGTCTGGCCAGCATAGTGAGACTTCATCTCTATTTTACATATTTTTAAAATTATGTTAAAAAATTAAAATAAACCCACAAAAGAATGGATAGGTATTTGCTCTAAAGGAATCAGAAGGTTTTCATAGTAATGCTTCGATCCCTTCCATTTTTCTTCTAGAGTTATAATTGAATAATTAATTGCCTAATGTTGTTTACTGCTTTATAATAATTACAGAAATTAGGATGTATCTAACAAAAAATAAAATAGAGTAGAAAAATAAAAAAATAGACTGAGAAAAAAATACAAAAGACTCTTGACCAAGAGGTAGCTTTACAGACATCTATTCAAAATACATTTATTCAAAGAAATAATGAGCAATTACAGAATTAAACTGGAAGGGAATATCTTTACTAAATAAGATAGTACAATTAATTAAAATAATTTATATAGAGAAACTGTGAATTTTATTCTTTGTCTTGAAACATTTAGACTCCTTTTTAACATTGCTTCCAGTTAAGGCTTTTGGGTTTAAGTTGAAGGATGAGGCCTGCTAACTTTCCTAAATATGAATTTATAACCCTATACATCCTGTCTGGAGTATGCAAACATCTGTAGAAAGATGAGGTTTTTTTTTTTTTTTTTTTTTTTTTTGAGACAGAGTCTTGCTCTGTCGTACATGCTGGAGCACAGTGGCGCGATCTTGGCTCACTGCGACCTCCGCCTCCTGAGTTCAAGCAATTCTCCTGCTTCAGCCTCCTGAGTAGCTGGGATTACAGGCATACACCACCATGCCTGGCTAGTTTTTGTATTTTTAGTAGAGACAGGGTTTTGCCATGTTGGCCAGGCTGGTCTTGAACTCCTGACCTCAGGTGATCTGTCCACCTGAGCCTCCCAAAGTGCTGGGATTATAGGTGTAAGCCACCACGTCTGGCCAGGATGAGGAGTTTTTAAGGCAATATTTCTTTTTCTTTTTTTTTTTTCTGAGACGGAGTTTCGCTCTTGTTACGCCGGCTGGAGTGCAATGGCGCGATCTCGGCTCACCGCGACCTCCGCCTCCTGGGTTCAGGTAATTCTCCTGCCTCAGCCTCCTGAGTAGCTGGGATTACAGGCATGCGCCACCATGCCCAGCTAATTTTTGTATTTTTAGTAGAGACGGGGTTTCATCATGTTGACCAGGATGGTCTCGATCTCTTGACCTCATGATCCACCCGCCTCGGCCTCCCAAAGTGCTGGGATTACAGGCGTGAGCCACCGCGCCCGGCCTAAGGCAATATTTCATAATCGATTTCTTTAATTGATGAGATCCAACTTAAAAGAAACAAAAAGTTTCTGGGCTTCATTTAAAAAAGAGAAATTGAGGCTGGGCTGTGGCTCATGCCTGTAATCCCAGCACTTTGGGAGGCTGAGGAGGGTGGATCACTTGAGGTCAGGAGTTTGAGACCAGCCTGGCCAACATGGTGAAACCCCTATCTCTACAAAAATACAAAAAAATTAGCTGGGTGTGGTGGCGTGCACCTGTAATCCCAGCTAATTGGGAGGCTGAGACAGGAGAATCGCTTGAACCCAGGAGGCAGAAGTTGCAGTGAGCCAAGATCGTGCCATTGCACTCCAGCCTGGGCTACAGAGTGAGACTTCATCTCAAAAGGAAAAAAAAAAAAAGGAGAAATTGTATTGAGGTCAGCCTGGACAATAAGACTGCGTCTCCAAAGTGGGGAGAAGAAGGTTTAAAACCAGGCCAGGATCTATTTGCAGAGATTATCATCTCAGAAGTCTTTCTCCCCAAGAAAATTAAGTCTGTAACTAGTACTCTTAGCACTTTCTATGGTATTTGATAGCAAAGCTACCTGCACTTTTTTTTTTTTTTTTTTTAACAAGTTTGCATTATACAAGACTGAATGGTGCTTGGCAGAGAGGAATTTTAAGAATTTGGAAGTAAAGAGGTAAGTGGAACTAGATTTTATAGATAGGAAACTTCCCCTTCCCAGTCTTTGCCCATTAAAAAAAATAAAGACACCTCCACTAAAAGATTCATAGATGTTGGGAAAACAGAATTGGGGGGAACTTTTGATTTTCTTCTTTAGATGTGAGGTGGGTTGAGGAGGAGTAGTCAAGAAACTGGTAGATGACTGTACAGTAGATAACATGTAATGTCATTTTAAAGTTTGTGTTTTTCTTAAGCTTGCTTTAGTAAGCAGGAAACACTTTCAAAGAAACGTGAATGATAGCCTATTTATCTTGTTGCTGATTCAAATTACTCAACATAAAGTTCTTTAAGTTAGCCATTTCCAGTGTCTGATCTTCAATGATACTTTTGTGTGTGTGTGTGTGTGTGTGTGTGTGTGTGTGTGTGTGTGTGTGTATTTTGAGACGGAGTCTACCTCTGTCACCAGGCTGGAGTGCAGTGGCACAATCTCAGCTCACTGCAACCTCTGCCTCCTGGATTCCAGCAATTCTCCTGCCTCAGCCTCCTGAGTAGCTGGGATTACAGGCAGGCACTACCACACCCAACTAATTTTTGTATTTTTAGTAGAGACTGGGTTTCACCATGTTGGCCAGGCTGGTCTTGAACTCTTGACCTCAGATGATCTGCCTGCCTCGGCCCCCCAAAGTGATGGGATTATAGGCGTGAGCCATCACACCTGGCCTGCATATTATTTTAAAATTAAATAAAGATAGGGAGCCAGATATTAGTAAAAAGTAGCAACAAATATATAAGGACCAGATTATGACCCAAGGACTGTTAGTGGAGGGTTTTGCCGTATTGACCAGGCTGGTCTTGAACTCCAGACCTCAAGTGATCCACCCTCCTTGGCCACCCAAAGTGCTGGGATTACAGGCGTGAGCCACTGTGCTCAGCAGACAGGTGAAATATTAAAAAATAACATGGCCAGGCTCAAAAATCAAGCTTAACATCTTTTTGGAATAGAAAGGCAAAGTGTTCTACCTAACTAAACTCTGGAGCCAGAAGTTGGCAGCGTTTCCCATGAGTTCCTGCCAGGCCAACAGGGTCCAAAAGTGACCATGTGAGAAGGAGGTCAGAAATTGGCTCCTACTTAAGCCAGGGGGGCTCTGTCTTCTTGAAAGGATGCCAAAAAGAAAACAGCGTCTTGTTTCTTGGTGTTAAAAGTTTTTTTCAGTGGCTGGGCACTGTGGCTCACACCTATAATCCCAGCACTTTAGGAGGCTGGGGCAGTAGGATTGCTTGAGCCCAGGAGTTCAAGATCAGCCTGGGCACAGTCGCATGATCGTTATCTGTCTCTACAAAAATTAAATTTCCTGGTCATGTTGGCGTGCCTGCAGTCCCAGCTACTCAGGAGGCTGAGGCAAGAGGTATTGCTTCAGCCTGGGAGTTTGAGGCTGCAGTGAGCTATGACGGTGCCACTGTACTCTGGCCTGGGCAACAGAGTAAGATACCCTCTCTCTAAAAAAGAAAAAAGATAAAAGGTTGAGTGCGGTGGTTCATGGCTGTAATCCCAACACTTTTCAGAGGCCAAGGTGGGTGGATTGCTTGAGGCCGGGAGTTCGAGACCAGCCTGGCCAACATGGTGAAGCCCCATCTCTACTAAAGATACAAAAATTAGCGTGGTGTGGTGGCTCACGCCTGTTGTCCCCGCTACTCAGGAGGTTGAGGCATGAGAATTGCTTGAACCCCAGAGGCAGAGGTTGCAGCTAGCCAAGATCGTGCCACTGCACTCCAGCCTGAGCAACAGAGTGAGACTGTCTCAAAAAAAAAAAAAAAAAAAGACCTGGGCACAGTGGCTTAGGCCTGTAATCTCAGCACTTTGAGAGGCAAAGGCGGGTGGATCACTTGAAGTCAGGAGTTCGCGATTAGCATGGCCAACATAGTGAAACCCCCTCTCTAATGGAAACAGAAAAATTAGCCGCATCTAGTGGCCTGTGCCTGAAATCCCTGCTACTTGGGAGGCTGAGGCAAGAGAATTGCTTGAACCTGG